AAAAAAAAAAAAAAAAAACTAGCAACAAATTCATCTCAGAAGAAAAAACAAAATGCTTGCGCATCATTAATTGTATGGTCAAGTTTAATGACAAAAATTTCCGCATTCATTTCCAAAAATGATCAATACCCTGGATTGCCACTAACACGTATTTATCAGCACTAACAATAGAAACAATTTTATATTTATTAGATATTTAAAAAGCATAAGTTGATTCTAGTAAAGTAGCATGAAGCCATGAAGGATAACACGAATGAAGTTATCAACACATAAGTAATGCACCTAGATGTCAGATAAACTGTAAAACTAAATTACATCTGTATAGAGGCATTAGGTGATATGAATATAGGAATGCAACGTAAGCAACTTGCCTCTCAAGATTCTGCTGTTTTCTCTCAACCTGTGTGGTTGTCACAATTACCATTGGCTGTGGCCGTGAAGTGTTAAGCATTTGAAGAATAAATCTGTTTGCAACTCACTTGCACAATCTGTGTGGTTTCCATTTGTACAATCTTATTCAAAGTCCAAAAAGAATATCAATGGGAAGCCCCTTTCCGCCAATAGATCCATTCCAGAGAAAAATAAACAATCATTTTGTCAAACTCTATTCAGCTCCTGCATTAACATGGAGTGTGTCTCAGAATGTAAATGACAACCATTCTTCTCCATGAGATTCAGCAATTTAGAGCATTGATCAACATATCCCCTCTTAGCTAAGCCGTCAATTAGAATTTTCCAAGCCACTTCATTATAATTATACCCACAACTTAGTAAAGTACCAAAAACTGCTTCAGCCTTCTCATTTTTCATTTGTTCAAACAGCCTACAAATAAGAAGCTTATAGGATTTTAGATGCGCTAAATGACCACACTCCATCATAGAATCTAACAATTTCACTGCTTCCCCAAGCATTCCCAACTTGCAACAACTACTTAAAAGATAATTATGAATACTTTCAGAGGGAGATATTCCACTTTCCCTCATATGATGGTACAAACTGAATGCTACATCCATGCAACTTGCTTTGCAAAGTCCTTTAATAAGCTTGCTGTAAGTGTTTACATTAGGCACACAGCCACATTCCACCATTTTCTCAAAGAGCACGGTTGTCATTTCAAAATCAATTATATTCCATATAGCTGCATTATCATCAGAGTTATCTGTTAAACTTAAATCAAGTTCCATAGGAATGCTGCCTTCCTTCTTATATTCTTCAATTATTAAATGCTTCATTATGATGGAGTATGTATGATAAGAAGGCTCACAACCAGTACTAAACATGCGCTTAAGAACACCAAATGCACCATCAAGTAGTCCCATACATCCATATGCATTAATTAATACATTATAGATAAAGGAGTCAAGCAATATGCCTTCATTTTTAATCTTGACCACCATCCCCTCAGCCTCCTCTAATCTTCCTTGGCTGCAATATGCCTTGATAAATGCAGTGTATGTGACCACATTGGGCTGATATCCAGATGAAATCATTTGGTTGAGAAACTCATTAGCTCGGTCAAAGTTGCATTCCTTCAATACTTCCTCGATGAGAATAGTATAAGTATGAAGAGTGGGCTTCACATCAAACTTCATCATGTATTCCAACAACAACATTGCATCTTGCATTTTACCCTCTTTGCGTAAGCCATCTATCAATACATTGAATGTGATTGAGTTCGGCAAACATTCCTCAGCAAGCATCCTTTTGAACAACAAAAGTGCATCTTCAATTTTCCCAGCTTTGCAGTATCCATCAATCAAGACTGTATATATATGTTCATTTGCTTTAACATGTTTTTCCTTGAGGGACTCCAAGATCTGATGAGCTTCTACAACTTTGCCCATTCTACAGAGGCAGCCCATAAGAGCTCTAAAAGTCCACTGATCCGGACTGAAACCGTCTTTAACCATCAAATGAAACAAGCGAGAAGCACTATCTTCAATGCCTGCCTCACACAACCCATGGATTAACGTATTATATGTAACCACATTGGGCGACAGTTTACTTTCAACCATTTTATTAAGCAGTGCCATTGCCCTGTCCATACTTCTCCCCCCACAAAACCCACAAATCAACTCATTATACGTGCGGGCATTTGGACAAACTCCCTTGCTCTCCATCAGACCCAAAACACCCATGGCATCCTCCATCATCCCCCGTTTACAATAACCAGCAACCAAGGCATTATAAGGGACAACACTAGGAGCCACGCCTTTCTCCAGCATTTCATTCAACATCTTCATCGCCTCCTCCATCCTGCTCTCCTTGCAGAAGTAATCAATCAACACAGTGTAAGTATAAACATTAGGCTGACAACCTCTTTCCACCATCTCCCCAAGAAGACTCAAAGCTTCCGCCTCCCTACCCGATTTGCACAACGCACCAATGACTACGGTATATGTCTGAACCGCCGGAAAACAACCATCCTCCCTCATTTGTGACCACAACTCAAGAGCCTCATCAAGCTGCCCAGCTTCACAAAGCCCATGCATAAGATTAGTATAGGAAGCCGCATTCCGCAGCGGCATAAACCTAAACACCCTATAAGCTCTATCCACAGCATTGTTTCTGCAATAACCCGATATCAACGAAGCGTATGTAAAGGAATCAGGACAAAACCCCAATCTCAGTAACCTAGTGAGAAAAACCCTCGCCACAACCATGTCCCCCAACTTGCAATAAGTATTCATCATCGTATTCAACGTTATCAAATTAGGGCAAACATTACCATCCAGCATCTCCTTATACAAGCTCGTCATTTCGCGAAGCATCGAAAAGCGAGACAGGCACATGAAGAGTCTGTTATAGGAAGTGAGGGAGAGCTTAAAGTGGTGAGCCTCGGCGGCGTCGTTCATTCGGCGCAGGAGGTCGAGCACAAAAACGGCGTCGTGCGGGGAGGCGCAGCACTTGATCATGGAGTTTCGGACATTCTCGGCGGCGCGTAGGGTTCCGGTGCGGACGAGGAGGAGGAGGAGAGGCTCGTACGTGCGCACGGTGTGGGCGAAGGAGTGTTTGCGGTGGATCCATCGGAAGAAGTTAAGGGCGGTGAGAGGGTGGGGGTTGAGGTCGAAGAGGGAGGAGAGAAGGGAAGGGTTTAGCGAGGGGATTAGGGTTTTAAGGGAAGGGCTTTTGCGCCATTCGGGTTGAGAGAGGATGGTGAGGATCTGCGATGGGATAGAAGGGGCGATGGAAGGGGAGGGTTTGAGACGGAGAAGTGGGGAAATGAGTTCGGATTTTGTCATTTAAAAGCCAGATACAGACCACTGTGTGTGGTTGTTATGTGAAGTGTTGCAGAAGAAGAAGAAGACGATGAGAGGGATGCAGATGCAATGCAGTGGGTTGGCCCCAATGAATTTGGCCCACGTAGGTTTTGGTATCGTGGTTCATCTTCAGCCGCGGCCTGCTCTGTTACCGATCTAGTTGCTTACTCTCCTTCAATTCATTGCCGTGCCCGTCGTCATTGTCATCACTACAAGTCTCCACATCTAAATTTTAATTTTATCCTGTTTTTTATTTTTATTATACTCGATTACTAAATTTTAATTATCACATTGTTAAGTTTTGTAGGTTTTCTATAATTGAATTTTTTTTTATCTCATTCTTCTTTAATTCATTGTACATTATGACTCGATGTAGATGTATAAGATTGTAAATCTTAAATTATTGAATTTAAGATTTAATAAAATGAGTGATCGTTATGAAAAATCTCAAATAATGACATGTCAATTAAATATGAGTATTTATGATAAATCTAATGAATTATAAAGTCACACATTCGATTATATTGTTTCTTGTAGTTACCCTCAATTTTTTTCTTAGCATCCCTTGTAGCTTTAAAGATATTGGTTTCCTCGATATGAATTCCAAATTTCTTTTTAAGGTAGTCAAATACAATTGTAGAGGTCATTGTAGGATTTGTCATGGGTTACTCATCAAATTTATCCACTATCGTGTTGCCTGTTTAATCCTAAACAATTTGTTGCACTGTGTTCTTTCTCACATGTCTTTATTTGAAAAGTAGTCCTATAATCATTTTTTGCGTAATAAATTGTCCATGGATATTCCTTTGTCTTGCATGAAGCTTTAACCCTATTCAAGTCATTTTTCACCCACATAATTTCCTTACTAATGTTAATTGTGTAATCAAAAATAGCTTTTTAAATACATGTAGGGTGGAAATTCCATTCCAACCTCTAGCCTCCAACTCAATGTTATCGAATTGTGCATTCTCATTAAATTGTGGTAACACACTCCATTGGCATCTTTTGAGTTTGTTGGTGATCTCAACACCTCAAACTCATAATGTGACTATGTGTCAGTATGATCATTGTAATCAACAACCTCATCTTTAAACATAGTTGGTTGCAGGCTAGCAAGATGGATTCTTTATGGTTGATTTTTACCCCTTTATCCCTCGACTAATGTAGGTTGCACCATATTTTATTGAACATTATCTTCATCAGACGAATTCTCTAATTGACCATGGAATGAGAACCTACTAGCACAATGTTTCACCCCTGAATCATGTCTAAGGGAAGATCTTGTAATGCCAATAGACTTCTCCATCCCTAGAGATGTTGAATCACTTGTTGTAGATTTCCCCTTTTCTGTAGTAACCACAACTTCAACCTCACCCTCTAAATTATCACTCTTATAACCTTGCGAGGGTGGTTTATACAAGCTATCCTCAACACTCTTAAATGAGTCTATATCAACAAATTCCTTAACATCACTTTCCCTTTCGTCAACATCAACTTTCTCTCCCTTAACATCAACTTCCTCTCCCTTAGCATCACAATTCACCCCAACACCATCTTCCCTATCAACATCTTCCCCAACACCTTCCTTAGTTTGTTCTTCCTCATTCTCCTCATTGGGTATAAGGTCCAATTTAGAAATTAGGTGGCCCTCCAACAATTTTTGGGTGTGGGGTTGTGTTTATAATCGAGTAGGTTTGCTACACAATTATTCATAAGAACTACTATGTTAGTGTTGTCGATAATGGAGTGTAACTTGTTTTCCATTATTTTCTTAACTTGCACAAAATACACGTTGCCAACTTTATTATAATTGTTACATGCCTTGACTAAGTACTTTAGAATCTAGATTTTCATATAATCTTCATCCCAATCTTCCCAAACACATCTATTCATCACTGTATTCGAGTAGTCTAACCTCATTCTTGACAAATCTTCCCCTGTGATAGAGCATTAGAGTAAGTTTGAAAATCATCTTGCACAAATACATCAATCATAACTTCTAAAATGTAACTCTAACCTTTTTAAAATGAAAAATCCAAACAACAAATACAAAATGAAAAATGACCCAATGTTCACGCATTTGTGAGTATAAAATTATTTTTTAATATTAATAATTCATTTTTAAATTTAATTAAAAACAAAGATGCATTGCATTATGTACTATCCGTGATGCCATGCCGAGCTCGAGCTCGGCATCGCAGCATAGGATGACCTCGGAACACGCATTCGGAGATCTTGGCCTAGACGAGATCCACAATTCAGCCAGATCATAACTTATCTCAGGAGATCTCGGTCCAGACGAGATCCGCTATCTAATTAGATCACAACTGATCTCAGGCCCAAGGCCTAACGCAACCCTAATTCACACTGAGGTACGGACATTACTTATACGAGACATATACTCATACGAACCCTAATTTTGGCATCGGAGTCTCTTTTGCAGGTACCACCCCCATCTTGGAGCACTAGCGTACCAGTGAAAGAGGCTCACCAATCTTACTTGGAGGATCATCTCTATGACAAATTCCCAGTAAGAACATTGGGCGCCCACCGTGGGGTCGATCGAGCCAGCTCTTATCCGCCACGCTTATGGGATTCACCAGAAGTCATAGTAGACGGGCAACAGACGACGCAGATCACTCAACCACCATGGATAACGAAGCCACATTGAGGAGACTGATCAACCAGGTCGAATAGATGCACCAACAACACGAGGCCGATCTGCCCAACATGCGTGCCAAGAACGAAACCGACCTAGCAGCGATGCAGACCGCTAATGAAGCTGACCTAACGGCGTTGCGCTCCGAGAACGAGCGCATTCGCGCTCAACTCCCTCGGCGTCCCTCTGATCAACCCCCTCAGCCGAGCCATCTGCACGAGGAGGAAGGCATTTAGGTTTCTCAGCCACCAGCCGCGACTAGGGTACCAACCCCCAGACCTGCCTCACATCGATCTCATGTACCGACGCACAGGTCGGCACAGGACGTTAGCAACGTCCCTGCCCACGGCACGGGACATCAGGCGACCTTCCGCCGTCATCTTTTCGTGGATGGCATTATGGAGACACCCCTCCCTTTCGGGTGGAAGCCTCTCCACATAGACCGTTACGACGGCACGACAGACCCGGATGAGTACATCGACATGTACACCACACAGGTAAACCTCTATACTAATGAGGATGTTATACTGTGCAGGGTTTTTCCAACCTCACTAAAGGGGACCGCGCTCAACTGGTACACCCAGCTTCTCGCTGAGTCAATCGACAGCTTCAGCACTCTGGTCAAGCGATTCACGGTGCAGTATGCAACGAGCCGACCTCACCACATCACTTCAGCTGCCCTGGCTAGTCTCAGACAAAACGATGACGAGCCACTCCAGGCGTTCATGGAGTGCTTTGCTGCCACCTCGGTCAAGATCAGAAATCTGAACCCCGAGGTCGCCCTGCATGCCATGTTCATGACCCTCAAGCCCGGACCCTTTGTCGACAGCTTGTGTCGTGAGGCTCCTCACGACATGGACGAGCTCCGCGCCCGTGCTGCGGGCTACATCCAGATGGAAGAACACTCCGCATTCCGTGACCAAGTTCGTGGAAAAGGACCAATGAAGCCGGAATAGGGTCACAAGGACAAGGTCAAAGTCAACAATGACAGCCAATTCAAGAAGTCGGCTAGGGCAAACAGAGGGGGGAGATATGACTTCTACACTCCCCTGAACACACCCCGAGTACATATCCTGGAGGAAGCCAGTAACAGCAACCTGCTCACCCTGCCACCGCCAAGTCACACCCCCAACAGTGCCGACAAATCCAAACACTGTCGGTACCACAGGAATCACGGTCACACCACTGAGGAGTGTCGCACGCTCCGAGACCGTATTGAAGAACTCATCCAGGTAGGCCACCTCGGCCAATATGTCCAGCGACAGCAGGGTCACCGAGGAGGCTATGGCGGACGAGGACGAGGCAGAGGTCGTGGTTCAGGAGCTCGCACGGACCAACCCTCTGGCTCTCAGCAAAATGCCAGCGGAGCAGTGTAAGCCGAGGTAAGCCAGGAAACAGGATCAGCTCCCCTACGGGGAGTAATCAATACGATTGCAGGTGGTTTCGCAGGGGGAGGTGCCACCAGCTCGGCCCGGAAGAGACACCTGCGCAATATCAACAGTGTTCACTCTGCTACCTCGGCTTCGCACCAAAGTTCACCGCCGATCACCTTCACCGGCGACGACTATGCCGGCGTCAGTTCCAACCAGGATGATCCCATGGTCATAGCCGTGGGAGGTAGCCAATTGGGAGGTTCACAAGACATTAATAGACCAGGGAAGCTCGGCAGATGTCCTGTATTGGCCGACCTTCCTCAGGTTAGACATCCCCCACTCTCTCATCCAACCTCACACAGAGCCCCTAGTCAGTTTTGCAGGAGAGCGAGTGCACACTCGGGGATACGTGGACCTGCTGACCACCTTCGAAACTTCCCCTGACACAAGGAGAATTATGGTCCGGTACCTCCTTGTGGAAGCTAACACCTCCTATAACATCATCATTGGGAGGCCGACGTTGAATCAGCTCGGAGCAGTGGTGTCCACTCCACATCTCACCATGAAGTTCCCAGGAAATGACAGTAAAATCATCTCCGTCAAAGCGAATCAGAAGACAGCTCGGCAGTGCTACACCGGGAGTCTGAAGATCTCCTCGTCCGGCGAGCAAAGCAAGAAGGATCCCCCCACTGTGGCTCACATCACCCACGTGGAAATCACTCACCTTGATCCGAGATCCGACTCCCACGACGAGAGGCCAAGCCCCATTGACGAGCTTGAGGACCTCTAGATTGGGAAACTCCCCGGGCAATGCACAAAAATCAGTAGGCAGTTGAGCCCGGATTTGCGGCGCAGCTCAAAGCTGAGATTCTCCAGAACGCCGACCTCTTTGCCTGGTCCAGCACCGACATGCCAGGTATAGACGCTGACTTCATCTGTCACAGGTTAGCGATACACAAGGAGGCAAGGTCAGTAGCCTAGAGGAAGAGGAAGGTCGGCGGCGAAAGGCGGGAGGCCATCATCACCGAGACACAGAAATTGCTGAACACTGGGTTCATCCGTGATGTCAGATACACCACATGGCTGGCGAATGTGGTCCTGGTGAAGAAAAGCTCGGGGAAGTGGCGCGTGTGCGTCGACTACACCGACTTGAACAAAGCATGCCCCAAGGACTCATACCCCTTGTCGAGCATTGACAGGCTGGTCGATGGAGCATCCGGACACGCCCTCCTCAGTTTCCTTGATGCCTACTCCGGGTACAACCAGATAATGATGTACCCACCCGACGAGGTGCATACGTCCTTCATCACCGACCACACCAACTACTGCTACAGGGTGATGCCCTTCGGTCTCAAAAACGCAGGGGCAACTTACCAGTGGCTGATGGATAAGGTTTTTCACCAGTAGATCAGGCGAAACATGGAAGTCTACGTCGACGACATGGTGGTCAAGACCACCTCAGCAACAGACCATGCTACCGACCTCGCCGAGGTATTCGCTCAGATCAGAAGGCACAACATGTGCCTCAACCCGAAGAAGTGTGTCTTCGGCGTCTAGGGAGGCAAGTTCCTCGGTTTCATGATAACTAGCAGAGGAATCGAAGCCAACCCTGAGAAGTGTAAAGCCATCATCCAGATGCAAAGTCCGCAAACGGTGAAAGAGGTCCAACGCCTAGCCGGACAGCTAGTCTCACTGTCCCGTTTCATCCCCAGACTCGCGGAGAAGGCAGGACCAATCTTCACTCTGCTACGGAAGCCAAAAGACTTTCAGTGGATGGATCAGTGCGAAGAAGCTTTCCAAAGCTTCAAAACCTTCCTCACGACTCCGCCAATCCTACAGAGGCCGGATCACAAAATCGACCTCCTCCTCTATTTGGCCGTAGTAGAAAGCGCCATCAGCACAGTTATAGTGCAAGAGCACCAAAAAGTGCAGACACCGATCTACTTCATCAGTCGAGTTCTTCAAGACGCGGAAAAGCGGTACCAAATGATCGAGAAGCTAGCATTGGCACTTGTCACCGCAGCTCGGCGCCTCCGACCCTACTTCCAGAGTCACCAGGTGGTAGTCAAAACCGACTACCCCATCAAGCAAATTCTGCGAAAGCCCGAGCTCGCCGGACGGATGATTGCGTGGTCAGTAGAATTGTCTGAGTTCGGCATCTAGTAGGAAAGTCGCGGACCTCTAAAAGCTCAATGCCTGGCCGACTTCGTAGCCGAGCTTACGCCTACTACTGCCGAGGAACCTCAGGTATGGACTTTACATGTTGACGAGTCCTCCAACTCTAAGGGAGGTGGTGCAGGTATCATATTGGAAGGGCCAAACCAAGTCACTTTGGAGCAATCCCTCAAGTTTAGCTTCAAGGTGACCAACAACCAGGCGGAGTATGAGGCACTCCTCACAGGACTAAGGTTAGCCTGCGACCTCGGAGCTCGAAGAGTGAGTTGCAACAGCGACTCGAAGCTCATGGTGGAGCAACTCAGTGGGACGTACCAGGCAAATGACACTCTTCTACAACGGTACTTCCACGTCGCGTCACACCAAATCTCGTCCTTTGACGAGTTCACCATACAGCATGTGCCTCGAGAACAAAACACCTGAGCTGACCTCCTATCAAAGCTCGCCAGCACCAAAAGGCCTGGACAGCACCGAACTATCATCCAGGAGACCTTGCACTCACCCAGCTTGGACGATAAAGTCGTCAACGTCAGTAACAGCGAACACCAGGGGTGGATGACAGGCATCTGGAATTACTTGAAAGAAGGGATCTTGCCCGAAGACAAGGACGAAGCTCAGAAAATGAGGATGAGATCGGCGAAGTTCGTCATTATCGGGGATGAGCTATTCAAACGTGGCGAGGAACGGCTCAAATGCTTGACTGCACCTCAGGCAGCCTACATCATCGAGGAAATTCACCGGGGCATATGCAACATGCATTCCAGAGCACGCTCAATGCGCGACCAGAGTACTCCGAGCTGGGTACTACTGGCCCACTCTGAAGTCGGATTGCCTGGACTACATACAAAAATGCAAAGAGTGCCAGCAGTTCGGCAACACACACCGACAACCGCCCGAAGCACTTCACCATATGATGTCGGCATGGCCTTTCTCCCAGTGGGGGATGGATATCCTCGGGCCATTCCCCCCTGCAAAAGGTCAACTCAAGTTCCTCCTAGTGGCGATCGATTACTTCACCAAGTGGATTGAGGCATGCCCACTCGCCAAAATCACCACTGAGAATGTGCAAAGATTCACCTGGAGGAATCTTATTTGTAGATTCGGAATCCCTCACACCCTCATTACGGACAATGGCCGACAATTCATCGCACAGGGATTCGAGGACTTCCTCCGCGAGCTCGGCATCAAGCATCTCCCGACCTCGGTGGAACACCCCTAAACCAATGGGCAAGCCGAAGCAGCCAACAAGGTCATCCTCCGAGAACTTAAGAAGCGACTAGGGAACGCCAAAGGACAGTGGCCCGACGAACTTCCCAGCATCCTCTGGGCGTATCATTGAACCCCCCAGTCAACCACGCACGAGACGCCTTACAGGTTGACCTACGGAGCTGACACAATGATCCCAGTGGAAGTCCGAGAAACGTCCCACCGATGCCAAGTTTTCAACAACGAGCAGAACGCTCGAGAGTTGGCAGCCGACCTCGACTTGGTTGACGAGCTTAGAGACGAAGCTCAAATCCACGAAGAAGCCTGTAAACTCCGAGCTTCCTGAAGATACAACGCCCGAGTGCGACCTCGCTCTTTCCGAGTTGGTGACTTGGTGTGGCGATTGCTAGGTGAAGCACGGAAAGACGCATCAGATGGTAAGCGTAAGCTTGCACCCACTTGGGGTGGCCCGTTCCGAGTTACAGAAGACTTGGAAAATGGAGCGTACCGACTAGAAGAACTCAGCGGAAAACCTATACCCCGAACTTGGAATGCTACGCATCTCAAGTTTTATTTCAGCTAAATTTTGTACGAATGAGATGTGCACTCTTTTTCCGCCTCAGTCTTTTATCCCAAAAAACCGAAAAATGGGTTTTGGCCGAGAGGGTTTTTAATGAGGCACATTGACATGATCAATAAAATGACTCATTCTATTCAACTCATATTCTTCTCGCATTATTTTTTTTATGCTAAATAGAGGTCGAGTTCGAACCAACTTATTATACTCTCACTTAAGGTCGAGTTCGAACCTTCACAACGAGTTCCTTAACGAAAATACAAGGTCGAATTCGAACCTTCGTACAATTCACTCCACATTAATCCGAGGTCGAATTCGAACCTCGGCATGATTAAGGTCGAGTTCGAACCTTCACAACGAGTTCCTTAACGAAAATACAAGGTCAAATTCGAACCTTCATACAACTCACTCCACGTTAATCCGAGGTCGAATTCAAACCCCGGCATGGTTAAGGTCGAGTTCGAACCCCCACAAGGAGTTACTCGACGAAAATACAAGGTCGAATTCGAACCTTCGTACGAGTCGCTTAGTAAAAATGCTAGGTCAAATTCGAACCTCCGCAAAAATTACTTAACGAAAAACTGAGGTCGAGTTCGAACCTCGGCATGATCAACTCAAGGTAAAGTATCACCAAGTATAAAATCATACAAACGACATCGAACGCGTGTCACAAAACGCGCAAACAGCAAAAATCAAGCCTAAACACAAAGGCAAAGAAAAGCGCAAACGCAAATAGACAAAGAAAAATATACATACACAAGCAATGTTTCCAGAGTTCCACACTTGAATTCAAAACAGAAAAATAAAGCAGGGAAGCTCAAACTAGACTATTACAAAATTGGCCTACGCAGAGGCATTCTTGCTAGAGCTGTCCTCCACGTCATCTTCCTTTACGAGCTTCCCGAAGCGGATGACTTTCTCCACATGAATGGCAGAGAAATCGAACCCTGGCACGAGGAGTCTAGCCTGGCGAGTAGCCTTGAGGAAACCCCTCTTATGCTCAATTACGACCGAACGCTCGGTCTCCTAAAGCTTCTTCTCCAACGCCGCCTTCTCTGCCTCCAGCTTTGAAAGGTCCGTTCTCAAGGCGGCAATCTCCTCTTCTCTGCCATCGAGAATGACCTCGTCGCGAAGACGCTCCTCAGCCGCCGCCATTAGCTCGCCCTTCAGATAGGTCACTTCGTCCTCCAAAGAGCGAACCTGGCCTCGGGAAGACGTCACCTCATCTTCCAGGCTCCGCACCCGACCTCGGGACGAGGCGACGAGCCCCTGCAGCTCGCTCACCTGGGCAGCATAATTCTCGTTGGAGCGAAGGGCGATCTCCAACGATTTCTGAACCCTGGCGAGATCTCCCTTCGTCGCTTGAAGCTCGGCCCCCTGCATTTTTGCCTCGCCGAGGGCGGCACTCAACACCTTGTTCTCCTTCTTCAGGACCTTGTTCTCATCCTTCAGAGGTTGAACTCGGTTCCTCAGCCTAACCAGATCCTCCTGCTGTTTGGACCACTTATGCTTCCAGTGGTCCACAATCACCATAGTTCTCTACAGAAAGACCTGGGCAGCGTCGAAGCTTTCCACGGGCCCAGCCCCGTCGACCAGTCCCTAGTCATCCGGGGTCAACGAACCTTGGGGGAAGAACTTCTCGGTAGTCATCTCAGCGCTCCACAGCGAGTTCATGTCGGCCGAAGCACTCACATGGTCCAGTCGCACCTGGGTGAGGCCCTTCCCGAAGCGGTGAGCTATGTACTGGCTCCGGGAAGCCCCCTGCGATGAACCTGACGGTGTTGCTGAGGTTGCAGGCGTGGCTGTAGGGACCTCGAGACTCGGCCCCTTATCGCAAGCCTCAACAGAAGCGGAAACGGGCGTCTCCTGCTTGGCAACAGGGGGGTCCACGTCTGGCACCTCCGACCTCAGAAGCACCTGGACCTCAGCAGCGTCCCCTGCCTTCAAAAACCAATGCCATGTCAAAAAAGAAAAAAAACAACATACAAGATAGAGGAAAAAATGAAGAGCGAGGCACTCACCACGGCGGCCTGGGCGACCTGCTCAGCAATCGGGGCCTCCACCTCGGCACCTATCCCTGCCTGCAAAGAGCGATAGCGCCTCAATAAACAAAAGCAAAACCAGCATAGAAGAAAAGTCCAAGGAGACAAGACACTTACCTCGACAGAAGGAGGAACTTGCTCAGCAGTCGCCGTAGTGGCCATTTGGGGAGCCCCCCCAGGCGGAGAGCTCCCAGTGAGATCGACTGCATCAGCATCTGCAGCCTTGGAGGTCACCTCCTTCATTCTACGAGGGGCAGAGGTCCCCCCGACCTCTTTCTCGCCCCTCTTTCTTTTTCGGTTGACCTTCAGGGGGGACATCTCCTCCTCCTGAGGCTCGGGAATCTCAAGCTCGGCAATGTTGTAGCGGTGCTTCAGCTCACGCCACTTATTCTTGCCCATTATGCCTGCAAACACAAAAAGCAAAACACATCAGCAAAAGAAGGTTTTGCAAACCCTAACAATCTAAAGAGGACGAAATACTCACTCTCCAGGCCCCTCTCCTTGTATGCCGAGTTCGCAAGCGACAGAACGAGATTGCAATCCAGCGGACGAGGAAGCGCTGCGAGGTTCTCGACGGCGGCCGCCTTCAAAGCTGTCAGTTTCATTTGGCCCACCCCATGAAACCTAGACGGTTTGGGGCACAATAGAAAGGGAATTTCGGTAGCCCGCCGAAGTAAAACGCCCCATCCTCCAATGGGTCGACATCCACAAGAGCAACCCGGAAAAACTCTTGTTTGAAATTTTTGTATGACTGGGAGTAGAGAGTAAACAAACCCCCATCCCTACTCCCACTCAGAGA